TACCATGGTTGAGAGTGCTCAGCAACGCATCCGCACTAGATCACCATAAGGTTAAGGTAAGCAGAGCTACATACTAGACACAACTAACTCATTTCTTCTCGAAACATCAATCATCCTCGAAATATATCTTCAAACAGCTTCTTATTTGACTTCTAATTTTTCTACTTTTGAGATCATCGATTATAAAGATGCTACGGATATAACTGTTGTTAGGCTTTCCATTTGCTTAATATGTTAAAGAGGGTATTAAGGAATGCCACAATATTTATTAAAGGAACCTATAGATTCCGTACGACGATGAAGATTCATTTTCAATGTCTTACAGAGTAACGGTGAATATAGTGCGATTTCTAGACTAATAGGTAATCCAAAACTTAAACTTTCATTCATCTCATTTTGAACAATCAAACAGATAACTCTAGTTAAACACGTGGTGATTGCTCATTTAACTAACATACTAAACAGAATGTACAACAAAAAGAGTTTCAAATCGTCAGGACCACTATAAGCCGACTGACTATTTTCATTACAAATAAGGTATCTCATGTACTTTTCTTAGGCGAAAAACTTATGTGAAAGTGTGCCTCGAGTGGCCTTTCTGGCTTTTTCTCATCCTTACAAACAACTTTAGAATTTATAACTATACAAAGTATTTAGGTATGTCTTCATTATTTTGTAGTGGAACACTTTTACTACGGGAATACAATCAGTGAAATGGAATTATTTATTATTGTACTCAGTTGTAACAATGATTATTTGGGTGTTCTCCTTTTGCCTAACTCTACTAAAATTGCCTACATCCTGTTTGTGTTTCTGCCTTTTGGAGACTTTAGATCCCCAGAACTCGCTTGGTAAATGCCGTTTCACAGCATAGGCTGATCAGTTGACCATAAGACTTCATTTCCCACCACGAAAATCCCTGGCTGCGATTAAATGCTGCGTATTTTGGTGTGCTACTTTTGTGACTGTCCGAAGGACGTTTCTATGATGCATAAATAAACGAGATTTGTGTGCTTGAATTCATTGTGTTTGCTTTGTGATTGTAGAATATACTTTCTACGCTGTATCAAGACTTCGCTTTAGCCTACATGGACGCTGGTTCATTGTCTCATTCTCGTTTATCGACTAAGGTGAACCCGTAATAGTTTCAAGCATGCCTAGTGACGATCCTAACAATTTATTTGGTAAATATCAGTTGGAAAAAAGTTTACAATGAAAGTGTCTTCATCTAAAGTGACAAAACTTAAAAATAAGCATAGCATACGGATTGTATTGTGCTTGCTGAGTGTTTGTAGAATATACTTTCTACTCTTATCAAGACTTCTTTTTGCAGTTTTGGGATCAAGGAAGCCTACCTAGACGCTGGTGAACTCCTAATAGGTTCAAGCGAACTTAGTGACAAACCTAACACTGCCATCATTGGTTACATGCTGCCCTTTATATGGCGCACCTTTTTGTTCAAATATATTCTTTACCCTGGAATTATTCGAATTTACTGTGACAGGCTAGTAATTAGCATTTAGCGGTGATCATAGTCAATCTTGATTCGGTCACAACTAAAATTTTTATGCAGTATTTGAAGAATAATCTAGTTTAATTGATCTAATCGTTGGGGTTAAGACCATTAATTTTGATGGGATAGTTCAGTATTTCATCGATTGGCGGGAAGACTGAAGACATTGGGTTTTGTCGCCTGTCTACCTAAAGTCGGTGGTAAGATGGAGTTATTTAGGACCTCACCAACTTGCGCCACAATTTCCAGAAATGTGGATCTAACTATATTCACCGATTCCAAGAAACAGCATTGTCCCAGGTAGAAAAACTAACTGTGAAGCCAAGGACCTGATTGAAATAAAAGTTTCAGTTAGCTGCCCCATATAAGCAGATTTTATGACACTTGTTTACTCGATCAGCGGCCTGAGTAACATTTGGTACGTAACACTTCAGTTTGACTTGTTTGGCTTAATATATGGTCAGACAACCCTCACAAAACCATAGAGAGCAAACACCCAGGTTCGTGAACACTTTATCTCATTCGAACGTGATATAGCTTAGAGAGCTCTCCCAACTGAGGTAACGACACCCACCCTAGTGGATAGCTTCGAGAGGAGATTTGATGAACGAGTAATCGCGCATAGAATATCATCTCCCTCTTGGATATGTTGTGCCTGATACATATCTAGACTTGCTAGTTGTTATTATTACCATTTCCTGAGATCAATAACTTATTCCATCTCCAGCTAATTGGCAATTTTTATACTACCTTGTGAAAAACAATATATTTTAGAGATGTGCGTTCAAATGAGTATGCTTGAAGCCACATCAGTTGGGAGCCTACTTTTCTTGTCAACTGTTTTATTGCTTCTTAAGATGTTACCGTAATGTAATATTTCCATATCGAAATTATTTCTTTATCGTATATTGAACCCTTTCTGTGGAATGTCTGATGCTTGCGTGGCCTTGCCTGACAAGGCGCCTCTTTTAAAGCTTCATAACCTTAAGGTGTGTTAGACACTTACTTTATTTCCCAGTATTTACTCCTCCATCTTGACCTATAATTTGTCATATGATGTTCTCCAGGAAATAAATTTTATTCACTTGATGGTGGTTAGACGTATATTACTAACTGTTTATTTGTAGGTAAATAAAGTTTACTACTGTACGTAAACCTGGACATATCAAAACTCAATGATCTTCGGTGATTTTATCGAACCTAATCTAACAGAATAACTGAAACAAAACTTTGATTTGGATTTCGATAAAACAAATGCAGTTTTGTGGAACTCATATCGTTTCTGAATTTGGAAGGATTGTTTATGGGTTTTTAACTGTTCTCCTTGCAATGGCAGGTGATATTTTCTCAAGCAAACGAAAAGATTACAGATACATAAGCAAACAACGTAAGTATTGTGATCTTTGTCCCGTTAGGGTATATTGTTTACACATTAGAACCGAAAATCCCTTTCTGATCATTAGGCATTCGTCGCTCATTCAAAGTTTTTGAACCAAAAATTATTGAACTTAGCATGTTGTAAGAGTGTCTCCGAATTAAACCGCAAGATCAACTTTAGATGTGGTAGTGACTCTCTATTACGTTTTACTACACCTTTGATACATTATATTTCCACCCAGCAACTAAATGCGAGCCTTAAACACGAATATTCAGACTTTCATAAAACAGATGCAAGGGTTTAGTTCATAAAGGACCCTTGAACTAACGTCAGATGGAATTGAAAAGTTTCAGCCTACCAGAAATGCGGTTGGTGTAGTGTAAGCATTTAGTTTACAAAAGCAGATAATTATAGTGAATAGATTTATGATAATTTATATGCTTATATGGGTTAGAAGGAGGCTATGGAGTTCTGAACTCGTATCGTATACGGTAAAAGGGCTCATCCATCTGACCAAGACAATCGACCCTTGGAGTTACGATAAGGTCTCAGAATTGTTTACCCTAGACCATATGGTTTATATATTGTTTCTGTACACTTCCGTTATTGAGTTCCGTATTCTAATCACTATCTCACCAATTTTTACAATACTTCCAACTCCAAAATACTTAGTCAACTTCAACTTAATTACAGATATCTCAGCTCTATTCATACCGTTAAGGTGCAAAAGCTTCAGTAACATGCAAAAGGATGCAACCAATGTTACTGGACTCCCGAATCATAAAAATGGAACTTCTCACTAATCCAAATTTTCGTCAATCATTCAGTCAGCTACAACGTAGAACTTCGTGCGTACGTACATCAATTCAAGTTGCCATATTACATTAGCACAGACGCAATTGTCGATTCAAATCCCATAGTAGTAGTAGAGGTAGTAGACGTATTAGCAGTAGTTAGAAGGATTAGGGTTCAAAGATTTTATTGAAGAAGTATTTTTAAATGAAATAAATTTAGAGAAAGATAGAGATGATGCGAAATCCAGATTATGATTCCAGAGAACACAAAGAATGGATGCACCTGCCCCATTGCAAACGATTTTGTTCCAAGTCCTTCAAGTTCTCTAACCATCGGTTAGTGTCGTCTGGTGGACTCCACTTATAGTCGGATTCCTAATACTAGTTTCCTTCCTGAGTCTGGACAGTTATCTACTGTTATCTGTTATCTCTGCCTTTTCCATCTCCCTTGCTTTGGCTGTCCACCACTGTTCGCAATCACTGCGTAGGCTTTTTATCAGCCTGCGCCTAATCTGACTTTGCTCTTCGTCATAGTCAGAGCCAGGTGGGATGAATCTCCGAGCATCTATCAGTTCGGTGGATGCTACTGAGATCGCCGGCTTATCCCTAACCGCATGGTTTACATTACTAGTACATATCATTGCTGTCTTCACAGCGTTTTGGAAATCGTTCCAAGTTGCATCGGGGTGGGAATCACTTACACGTACTTCTCTTCAAATTGCTATACCACATTAGCACATAGAGATCTAGTAGAAATTGTAGCAATATTAGCAGTAATGGAAAATATTCGAGTTCGAAGAAATTATCCAAGAAGTGTGATCCAGTGGAATAAATTTAACAAGAGGAACGAAAATGTCCTTAGCTCATGAGGTCATGGGAGAAGACAAAAAATGAATGCACTTGCCCAATGCAAAATATTTTGAGCCATGTTATTCAATGTCTCTAACCATCGGTTACGATCATCTCGCGGATCCCAACCAGGTAGTCTATACCTACCAATATGGCTCATTGTCATTGACTTCATGGATTTGTGACATGTTTTGATCTGACCTCCCCTACCCTTCCTTCAACCTTTCCCTACTCCAGGCATCATCGCTCGCCGAGGCAATCGGCGGTTATGCTTTTGTAACACATGTCCAAACCATCTCAGCTGATGAACGTTCACCACTTCATCGATTGGTCTGCCGTCAATAACAAGTACCCTTTTCATAACATTAGCATTGCTTACTCGATTGTCCCAGGATATTCGAGCAATGCTTTGAAGACGCCGATGATCGAACACTAGTAACCTACGAATATCTTCTACTCTTAGTGCTCATGTTTCACAGTCATAAAGTAGGACGCAGCGAACTGCTGCGCAGTAAAACCCGTTTTTTGGCTAGTAGACGGATTTTTCGCCTACGCCATAAATGATACAAGTTGGCAACAGTTACCCTAGCCTTCTGTGTCTGTGCTGAGATTTATTCAGATACCAGGCCATCAGGACTTAGGAGACTCCCGAGATAAGTGAAGCTGTCGGCACGCTCAACTACTTTATTCTCTATCACCAGTTAAGGCGCCGATTCTGAAGCGATAATTTTAATTTCGATGGGGAGAATCGCATCCTGAACATGCTTGCATTGTTGCTTAAGGTGTTCATAAGATTCTGCATATTGTCAGCGTCTTCACCATAGAGAACTATGTCAGCGGAATATCTAAGTCAACAAATGAATCTCCTGGTAAAAGTTGAACTCCAGAAAATTCAGATGAATATAGTGTTATCTCTAAAAGGGTTCATATGAAAAAGTTGAATAAGAATGGAGAAAGTGGACAACTTTAACGAACTCCACTCGACGTAATAAATTCCGATGAGAGTTCGCAATAAAATCTGACGACCAATAGTGTTCGAGTAGAGAGTTTGTATAAGATTGATGTACTTCTCTGGTACTCCTTTTAGTGACAAACACTGCCGTAGAACCTCACAATCAACATAGTCGAATGCTGCATTAAGGCCAAGAACTACAACTATTGTAGGACGTCATAATGTGTCTATGTCCCAGAACCTATCGAAATGTAATTAGTTGACCTATAAATCCATGTTCACTTTCGAGTCCTTACTGTCCTGTTTAGTCGAACAGCTCATAAACGACTCTACTGGGATCCAGTCTAAGAGAATCAGTTCTGCCTTAGGACTTAATGCTACACCTAAACCAGCGAGGCCCCGGGAAGCGACAGCAGGGCTTCTAGATACACGGATCGTAAATCGAGTTGGTTTTTTATCTGAACAACGTTAAGTCAGCATCGCTGCAGATGCTGGTTGTCCGAGCGAAACACCTTACTGCTTCCGCAACCCTTTACAGTTAGCAGCATGACTTCAACCTCAGATCTTGAGTTGCTGCTTTTGGTCTTGACGTTCGCCAATTGACATGCCTGGCATGGTAGGACCTACAGAAACAAATGCTCCAGTCAATATAGCTCTGCTAGGTCATTACGATGGGCTAGCCTTACGACCACGTTAAGGTACCAGCTATGATCGGCTCCCAATGATTGTAGCCGCTCAACTACGACGTCCTCCCTAAAATCCACTGTAAACTGTTTGTACGTTTGCATTAGGGACTAAAATTAGTGCCATGATTTAATCGCTTACTCGACTTTGGCTCACCTGTAAATTATAGTCTTGCCAAAACATACATGCAGTGTTCAGTGATGGACTGTTGCCTACTAGAAAGATTGCTGAACCGTGTTCCTTTTATTTTCATTTTTTTGCCCTAGTATAGCCTCTCTTGAAAATTTTGTTCATATAGTTTCAAGCTTGACCAAACTCTTGGTCCACATTATCCCATGATCCTTTTGGCAACCAGTGTTTCATGTATTCAATTTTTGTAAATTGCGATCCTATACTTCTCGAGAAATTCAACTCAAATTTAGGAAAAGTAGCTGTTTTCATCTTCCATCTTTAGTAGTAAGGATAGGAAGACAATCGACAATCGATTCCTACAATTTACAGTACTATAAAGATCCACTCTCACTTTGGACGTAATAACAGGTGCTGATATTACATGTCTTGGTAGACAATTTCAGTACTTCACTAGTTGATGAGAGACGATACTAACCGATGGTTAGAGACCTTGAATGGTATGGCTCGAAATCGTTTGCAATGGCGCAGGTGCATCCACTCTTTGTGTTCTCTCAAATCCTAATCTTCTGCATTCACCAACACCTCTACCTTTGTATTTCTAAATTTACCTCTCTGAATTATACTTCTTGAATAACATCTTCGAACCCTAATCTCTTCGATCGCTTCTAATATTTTTACTATCTCTACCACTATGGGATTTGAATTGACAATTACATCTCTGTGCTGATGTGGTATGGCGACATGAACTGATGTACTTACGTACGAAGTTCTACGTTGCATCTGACTGACTGACTCGCTGTTTGAATTCAATATTCCAAATGCAGTCTTGCAAGCATGGGGTTTCATGTCCTAAACATTTCTTACTCCAAGAGAGAGGTGAGAGACCCTATAGAAGGCGTTTCTTAGATGTATGAAAATCACGTCTGCTGGATTATTACGATCTTTTGTTGCATTGTAATCTTGTCTTGCAATGAATAGATCTGTTATGTATAGAAGGCCTTCCCTACAACCAGTTTGTTCCCTGGTTAAGAGATTGTTTTCTTCCTTATAGCTTAGAATAACCATTCGAATAATCTCCGTATGTTTGACGACAACTCTGGTTAGGCTAACAGGCTGATAGTTACTAAGTCTCTGCTCACCACTTGACAAACTGCACTGATAATGGCATCTTCCCAATCTCTTGGCAGTTTAAACTGCCTCAGAGACACGCCAAACAGTACCAGAGGTTCAGCAATTGCGTTCGCCAGAACATCTTTGTATAAACATGATCAAGACCAATAGACCTATCTGGTTTTATATTCCGAAGTAATCGTAAGACAACTCCCTTTGTAGTTGTTACCATAGGAGGATCTATTGACAATCCTCCATTTCAGTAACTAACGATTGCTCTTTCACCATCGTCGATAGAAATCATTTTGCTGAAATATTCTGGGAGAGCTTTTGCTTTTTCTACATCGTTTCTTTTCAATGACAACGGATCTTCTTGAACCAGAGGTGACAGAATCCAATTACTTCCCTCAGTTCGTCTCCTTAGATATGCGAGCAAACGGTTTAGACTACTTTCACAATCCGTAAACAATTGCCTCTCGTAAGAAAGTCTAACATTACTTAGCAACGCTTCGCATGCTTTCTTACTCGTACAATAAGTGGAGCTGCATTGTTCGCAGCCAGTAGAGGTAAACATATTCTAATGCTTCTTCCTACGTCTATGAATTTTTCTGAGATCTTTCGTTATCCATGGTGGGCAGTTATTTGGTCTGTGGCACTTAACACGGTGGAAATGGGGACGTTACTGAGCTAAATATGCCTTTTAATATGGATCATGTCACTTCAATTGATAAGCTAGTACTTACTGACCAATCGGTTTCTGGCTCAACCCTTGTATGGATATTATGTTTGCTCTCCACTCATTTAGAGGAGGTCGAACCTGATCATGTACTATGTTACAGTCCCTAAACACGAATACCAAAACAATATGGTCGCTATTTTTTAAAGGTTAGGGAATGTTTAGACTGGCAATATCCCTGGTGCACGAGTGAATACCAAATCTAACAAATAAAATCTTTGGTTTAAACCACAACGTGTTGTTTCAAATACATGTTGTACTAAGACATGCTATATTACAATCATCAAGAACTTACTATGCAAAAAAATCTCAGATTCTCCATCGGACATCTCTGTTCAACTAATAAAGGTGGCTTAAAATCTAAAATCACTAACCGGTTACTTTTACTCCATAGCTGAGCATGCTCCAAAACAAAATCTTCTACTAGGCAGATTAGAATACAGTAATAGATGACACCGAGTATAAATATACAGCCTTCAAAAGTGGGTTTACAGCTTGTGACATAACAAGTTCCACTGACATGGGATTCACAACTAAGTAAACAGCAGTCTTTATTGCTAGTTATGTATGTAAAGACCTCACATCCTTTCCTGCATCTATTGATATCACTTCTTAGGTAGTTGTACTCCAATAATTCTGGAGTGACATCAAGTCATAGAATAACCAATTTCTGGTCACAGCTTTGATGATTGGCTTTAATTTGTACATCAGTACTCATAGTTCACAGAATTTATTTCCTAAACTGTGAGCATTTATATTTAGAACTCCTGAAAGGAATGACACAGGTCTTGGTTGTGTTTGCTTCCAAGACCTAACGACCTCCAGTAATCTACATGTCCGTTGTTCAGCATTTTTCTTACTCCTCTAACCTATTCTTAGCAATATTTCGATCTGACTTTCTGCAGAGTAGTTATCTGGTAAGATGCTACAACTAAACGTGCCGATCTTTTCCAAGTCATGCGTATGTCTAATTACTGAATTAGGGTCGATTTGTTTGTTCTGAAAATGGAGTCAAGTGAAAGTCACAAATTATTTTTCAATAGAGGTCAGTGCGGCTTACAAACAAATTCTAATATTGATACTTATACTCTAATGTTCTCATAGACTGTATTTCAACCGATTTATATTGATTGGTGGGTTTCAAGGATTGACATCCCAGTCATGTTTAAACGATATTCATTGATTATTAGTTTTTAACCATAGATATCTTTACAGTGGTGCTCATACGTGGTAGAATCGCCAAATGAGAAATGTTGCAAAGTTCAAAACCAAGTGATCGGAAAACCAATAATTTGTGAGCCTAGAATGGTTAGGTCATGTGTTGAGCAAAATAAATCACAGATTACCTCGACAATATGATATAAGATGGATAAAATTTAATTACGAAAGCATTAACAATAGTCATAATGAAACACATGGTTAAATGCAAGTTTCTTGGTGAGATTTTTGACAGGTGTTCTATAGCTAGCTAATCACAATAGGACAAAAACATTTTCCTTTCATTTCTGAAATCTCGGTGTGATATTTATAAATCTTACATATTATTATTATTATTATTCAGGTGCATTAGATGAACTACGTGCGATTCGTGAAAGTGGCCTTCGAGAATATGAAAAAGTTGTTAGTTTATGGAAGTTGTCCCTTTGTAATCATATAGACAAGCTGGGCTATGAAAGTATGTAAATATTTGATTCCCTATCATATAGTATGCTTATTTTTAAGTTTTTTCACTTTAGATGAAGACACTTTCATTGTACACTTTTTTCCAACTGATATTTACCAAATAAATTGTAAGGATCGTCACTAGGTATGCTTGAAACTATTACTGGTTCACCTTAGTCGATAAACGAGAATGAGACAATGAACCAGCGTCCAGGTAGGCTACCCTGATCCGTTGACTCAAAACAGCTAACGAAAAGTCTTGATAGAGCGTAGAAAGTATATTCTACAAACACCCAGCAAGCACAATGAATTCATGCACATAAATCGCGTTTATTTATACATGATGGAAACGTCCTTTGGACAGTCACAAAAATAGCACACTAAAATACACAGCAACCAATCACAGCCACGGATTTTCGTGGTGGGAAATGAAGTCTCAAGGTCAACTGATCAGCCCGTGCTCGGAAACATAAAATCCAAAATACGGCATTCATCAAGCGAGTTTTAGGGATCTAACGTCCCCAACATAAATACTCTAAATTTAGGAGTGTTTATCGATTAATAACGGTTTTTTATTTAGAATTCCGTCAATGGCACTTGTCAAGTAAGGTTATGTGACTTACTGTTTGTGATTGTGTGTTCTATCAGGAATATGTAGACTAGGTTGTGGTATTATTGTTTCAACTCGAATAACCTCATATTTGGTGAAAACAATTCGGAATCGCTTCAAGTATTTCTGATGCTAAACTAGTTGATGGATAAAAATCAACGATTTTATACTTCAGTCTAATATTTATGTCATATATTACAAGAATTTTATTTTTAAACTTTAGAATATCTGTTTTTCTGCTCATGTCTGTCTTTTTGGTTATCGCATTCAACATGGTTAAATACTCAACTCATCCAAGATGATAAGTAACTCTCTTTTTATAATTAGTAGTGATCTAAATACATGTAGCTAGTTGAGCATCCATATCCAAAGTTCATTTCGCACATGTTACCATCAAATACAACATATTTCTGTTAATCTATATTTATTACTTGTGATAAATGATAGTCAGTTCATACCATTATTCCTAATTTGTTAACAGACCTTCGTGTGTTTTTTTAAAAAACGGCTTCATTAAAATCCTGAATTAATCGGTGTTAAACCACTGTAGAAAACCTGGAAGCTGTGGATGGCCATCTCGTCCTGATATGAGACTTTTCAACGGTACACTCCCACGACTGCATAAGCGGGAATCGAACCCATGGTCTTAAATCCCACAAGCGAATGCTTAACCTCTTGACTACTGATCCGATATTTCACGATGTTAATGTCCAACTTCAGTAAACCCATAATGTCAAGGGGTTAAGCATTCTTGCACAAGAACGAAGGTCCTGGGTACAAATACTGTTTGCAAAGTCGTGGGAGTGTACTTCCGATGAGTCTCATATTCGGACGAACGGCTGTCCACTGCTTCCCGGTTTACAATCTGAAACTCAACATTCTTCAAAACCCTATGATGACATAACGTTGGTTGTTTGTTATTGTCCAATCACATGTCTTATTCTCTCTAAAAGAAAGCAAAGATAAAGTACTCAAACTCATTGGTGTTTGTGATATATTTTTAGCTAACAATTTTCCTCATTACTATCGTTTGACATTGTTATTCTTGTCTTTTGTAGAGTACTCGATATTAGAACAAGTGTTCATCGCTGCTCTAGATATGGGAGATGATGATTTAGCTTGCGTAAGTTTTATCGTTTAGAAACTTTCTTTCATCATAGATGAACTTATGTTCATCTTCCCTAAAAACTTGTTATACCTTATTATTCGTCTAAATATCTTATGCTACGGCAAACAGAGGAACACATACTTCGATTGTGTTTCGGAGTCTGTGTAATCGAGCCGATTCGCCTGTATTGCCTTTAGGACTAGTGACCTATCTACTAAATCACACATTGACCAATTAACGACAATCAAAACCTTCCTTCCAACTCAGTGTTCAATGAGAAGATAAAGGTAGAAATAAAATCTTTTTTGCTCTATGACTTAAAACTCATACAGTAATACACTGGAAATCTCTAACATAACAGCAACACAATTAGAAACTCAGAATGTGTAAATAA